TGTGTGTGTGTGTGTGTGTGTGTGTGTGTGTGTGTGTGTGTGTGTGTGTGTACTTATGCATCTTGGTTTCAATATATGAGGAAGAGATAAATTAGTGTTTTTGTCCATCGTCCTCTTGTTTAAATACAAACATAAAGTGTCTTTCAGCCCACAGATAACAGCTCCGGCTGACAAAGCTGCTTCCGTTGTGAGGGTCTAATCCCCAGAGACAAACACTCTCTTTCATGCACACACACATACACACACATTTACATGCTTTTCTGTAATCCTAACTCGTCTCCCGTCTCTCATTGTCTGAGCTTCGTTCTCTGGGATGACACTTCAAAGCTGGTGTAACATCACATTGTGTATCAGCCTCTGCAAACTGCTCTAAAAGACTTTAAACTCCTWTAAGTCTCTGGTCTCTGTGTTTCTCTGCAAGGACAACACTCAAAGCCTGAGAAGTCACGCACTTATGTGTCCTAAAGCTCTTCATCCACATGTGGCATTCTGATCTGATTGTGCACGCTGGAAACACGGTCGCTTTGGAAATGAGTGGCTTCAACGGAACTAAAACCAACAGAAATGCTGTTTGATTCAAGATTGTTACAGCAATTAATCAACCAAACAGAGAAACAGCTCTAACTCACCAAGGTTTACAGATTTTTGAGCTAATTTTTGTTGTAGTAGTTTAAAGTCGTCCTCAACTGATCACATAAGGAGTTAACTCAGTCTGTCTGTTAGCAAAATAACTCATTGGRTGGATTTTAACCCCTTAACAGTCACCCTTAAAAGATTTTAAAAGCCATTTAATTTTTTATTTTATTTATTTCATTTATTTATTTTATTTTATTTATTTATTTATTTTTTGTAAGGGTGTCAAGTAAGAACCGGAGGAAGTCGTCTGACACCCTGGTTTAAAAAGGGAAGAAAAAAAAAACGCCCCCAGGAAAGTCTTAAAACACCTGGAAACATTTAAAGGCAGAAACGAAACCATTTTTGCCCACCGGTAGAACAAAGACTGTTAAGAGGTGTGCCTCTACAAAGACCTTTGGAGTTGTTTCAACACAAAAATGATTTTAACACAGTAAATTTGCAAATATTGAGCTGCCTGAACATTTGTGAAAAATTCCCCAAACCAAGTGCATGGTTCACTTAATATTTTTTTCCCCTAAAACTTTGGTTTAGTGTTGTTAACCCTGTATGTGTGTTAGCAAAATATTTTATAAACTGCTGATCTAATTTTAGTGAAACTCTCAGAAAGTAGTATTTGAATATATCTCTACAAATGATTTAGTTTTGAAGTCAGCCCAAATCAAGATGGCTGTCAGTTTGTTGAGATTTACTCACACAAGAATGACAACAACTCAGTCCTTTTTACAGGTATTGGACTAAATTTGGTGTAGTTGCAGCTTTGAGGCTTCTTCAACATATGACACTGCWAACACGTCTTGTGAAATCTCATATATGGCTTTATAATCATTATGATCGCAATCTTAAACTCTGGCATGAAAAAGTGGGCAACATGCATTCCTTCAGGGAATGATAGTCCTTCATGTTTTAATAAATTACTGAGTCTTGTAGATGCTAAAACTACACAGGCAAAAAAGTATCAGCAAAATACTTTAAGTCCTGATTGGTTGTTTTTGATCCTGGTCAGTGGGTCAGTGAGTGGGGGCTTTTCTTTTTTCCAGTCACAACATTATTTCTATTTCTGTTGAAAACAGCCACGCACAAAGTGTCATTTCTGTAACCACCATACAGCCTGATGGTGATACACACCCCACC